CCCCGCCACTGCCCTGTGATCTTACTCGCGATCGAGCACCGTGCACAAAACGATCTTCCCAAGTGTAAGATACTGGCTATTACAGAGCGATCGATGAAGCGATTGGTGGGCTCCGATTAACGTGGGGAATTGGTCGAGTACGAAAATGTCAGATGTTAAAAATCAGTCTTGAATATTTGCAATAATATGAATATCGATTATTTTCTGTCGGCAATCGACCATATCGATGATTTATCGGTGGTTTAAATCGGTTATTTTCTTTTCTACTTCTTATTCGAAATTTGAATTGTTAAATTCTTACAACGATATCTATGAGTTCACGAGTTTCCCGAATTACATTTGCACGCGATCACTAGAAAAGAAAGGAATCGTATATCAGAAATATTGCACACGAATTTATATAAGAGAGAGTATGATGCATATAATATTTACATGTTTATTTGTAAGAATTATCGTCTTGGTTCTTATATATTATATTACCGCTGTTATGTGAATTTGTATGCAATAGATACAAGTCACAGAGAGAGACAGAAACGCGTTTCATTATTCCCGTGTCTTCAACACGTTCAGATGACGAATTTCACTAATATCGCATTTTACGCTCCTTATTTCTTTTTTCTTTTTTTAATGTAAACATACATCGTAATTTTAACACTGCATATTTTTTCGTGCGTAGCTGCTCTTCTGGGAAAAACAGGAAATACAGGTGAGACAAGTTCGTGGAAGACAAACTGTTTGACTCGTATTCTTTAGTGTATCGCAACACGTGACATATCTTCTCTTCGTTATCTTTTTTTTTCAAGTCCCTTTCCCGTCTATGTTCTTCACTCTTGTACATTTCTCATTATCGTCTCTCGTATATTTTGTATTGCAATATTGATGATCATTGTTTGTCGCAGTTTTAATCAAGCGGGTCTCCCCTAATTTGATTAATTTTGATCAACTTATGTTGATCTACTTTGTTCTTGAAATATTCATTCAAGAATAAATTATATATTATATATCAAAAGATGGTGAAAAATTTTTTACAGAAGAGGACAAGTCCAAATTGATCCATAATGAACGGCGACAGTGTGATATAATTTCGTGATATCCTGTATATATATATATATATATATATATATATATATATATATATATATATATATATATATTTTTTTTTTTTATTTATAAACATGGACAACCATGTCTATTTTATTAATTAGTAACTGATTGTCGTTGCGCGCTGATTTGCTGTCGTAAAAAAACTTTCGCGAACATTGAATGACGCATTAATTGGCGAGACCCGGTTGGAGCTTTCAGGAATATACTTTTATCCTTCATCAATATCGTAAACCGTAGTTTTAACAATATGTATATATCGGACTCGGAATTAATGTCTATTTGAGATGTATTGAATATAGATGATTTACGCGCAAACGCTTATCGCAATTAACGGGCGCATGATTATCCGTAATAAGCATTTACGACAACGTAACGTATGCCTGTTGTCATAAGGAAAAAGAAAAATATGACTGTTTTTTCTTGAAACGCTTCTCGCAATTAACCTGGGGATTAGCGCGTGATTTTCTTTTTTTTCACCATTTCAGTCACGCATGAAAATGTATTATATGATCTATCTTTAAGTCGTTTTTATCGTTCTTGCATCGTTGCATATTTCTTCGTCAGTATCACGGAGATAAATATTTATGCTTTGAGATTTCAATCATTAAACCGAATAAGTTATGAAACAGAATATTTTGTGTGCCCTATATTTCGCAATTTTCATGATTTTACTTATTCATGCATATTCAAAATGTCTTTATATAAATTGGATCTTCCTATAAATCGTTCAGTGCACAAGAGAGCCACCTAAAATTTTACTCATAACGTTTATTTTAAAACGTGTAACGTCCAGTTTGGATCCAGTCAAAACCGCCTGCAATGCTATTCGCACTTAATGGAGAAAAAAAAAGATAGAAACTCTGTTGCGTTAAGAATACAATTTCGAACTATTCGAAATGATGATCTTATAGCACTATATAGTAGCACTAATTTATCGCACAAGTACGAGCAGCTTCCTGTCTCTAATCGTGATAACTAGTGATAACAAAGTCGGAATAGCGACGTTCACTGTTTTCGCGACGTCGCAGCATGCCTCGGAGTTAATTAGGCTTGGGCATCATTTGCGCACTTGGGGATCGATGAAAAGTAATATAACCTTGGTGTTCGTCTTCAAGGGTCTACCGGGGGCAGTCTCAGTCCTGTGACATCCCTCACGCTCAACTCTTTGACGGGCACACCACTAAACGGGCTTCAAGACTCGCTAAGCAACGCTTATTCCAGTTTGCAGCAATATGCAGGTAATTATTATAGTTCATAGAGCATTTTTCGTATACACAGAGAAGCGTCGTACGCAGCTCAGACCGCGCCTCTCTGTGGTCTACGTGAACACGCAAAAAAAGTGCTGTCTTCTAACGAGTAAACTGTGCGCATTAAAGCTCTCATTGGAAAGACGACGGTGACCGTGGAAAAGAAAGAATTGCATAGTGAGTAATAAACGAGTAGAAAAACTGCCTGGATATGCATTTCTGTGAATTGTCCACGTTTTTCTCTCTCTCTCTCTCTCTCTCTCTCTCTCTCTCTCTCTCTCTCTCTCTCTTTCTCTCTTTTTCTGTCTCTTTTCTTTTTGTTTCACGTCAAGTCTCTCGTGTCGTTCACTTCTTGAATTGACACATGTCAATTCGTACTATGCGATCAATACAAGCGCGAGGTATCAAAATTAACTGTTTTGTGATTAGAACAATTAATCACGGAAAATAACAGAGTGTGGAGGTGAACGAAATGAGTGTTTGGAAAAAGACAATCGGTAGGTTCGCATGTGCCTATCGAAAATGTCCATGTATCCCAGCGCACAAGGTATACGCTCGTAAAAGAATTGAATAACCGAAGATGTTACGATGCCACAGTTGCGAATATCAGAGAGAGAGCTTGTGAAATTGCGTTACACACGTATTCTTTTATAATATCATATGTGTAACCTATTTTCC